TTTATGCGTTAGTGCGCTGGTTTATCTGAATTCACAATATGATGAAAGCAATCTTTAAACGTATTTACATAGGCTGGTTTGGTTCTAGTTTAGATAACTACCCTTTCAGTAACAACACTGTTTTGAAACATGTCGGATTTTCTAACAGTTAGATTTTGAATGAAGCTGTAAAGATCTAATTTTGAAATGATGCAGATTGTATCGATAAATTGGATTGGTATTTAGGAGAACATTCACCATTATTGTGAAATTACTTCATGGCTTTTTAGTTCTAAAAGTAGGAAGGGTACTTAGTGCAACTCACGTGGTTAGAAAAGAGAATCCAGATAAGCTGATAGACACGATTTTTCTGACAATAAATTCAAAGTCTAATTTGAGAAAACGGATATCATAGTGGTTTTAGGATAACTACAGTGTATCGAAACGTTCATAGTTTAAACATAGATCACAACTAATAATTGACATTGAAAGTTTATCAGTACTCATGAAAGTAATATTGTCGGAGTTTTGTCATCCTAATGACCGCCCATCAACTTTCGTTTGACTCTGGACGAGTATGATAAAAATATAACTGGAAATTATTCGGTAATCATGAATTATATATGACTATGCATGATTTTTAGTCAAATTAATAGCTGTCCTCTCTTATGCTGCGTGCATTAATATTCCAAGTAATGTTAACACAGTAATTAGGTCTAACCACTGATTAATAACCTATTTGCAAACCTTAATACCTGGCAAACAAACATATTACGCTAATCTGAAATGTGATCAAACGGCTGAAGATAGCTTAACATTTCATGTAACATAAAACATTTGACATGAAACTACAAACACGCTTCTTGCTAGTTAATGTTTTAAAGCTGTGTGTTTCTGTACATCTTCGGGCAACTGATTCTATTCATTGGGATCGTCCCATATCATCTAGACCAAATATAAGAATTAGGTATCATTGAAATATTGAGATTGGATATGAAGTTCTGAAGGACTAAGAATTTCACAGTTATCTGTTAAACGGTAATAAGTGAAATAATGTTATCTACTTCTTAGTAATAATTCAATACTCTCCATCAAGTTTATCACATGATACAAACCAAGTAAATTTCGTAGTTTAGGTATTTTAAAGATAGATGGGTAGTTTTTGCGCGAATTAGTAATTTTTAAATTCCCATAAATTCTAATTTTCAGTGGTTAATTTGGAATATTTTAAATAATTGTATTAGCCTTTCTAAACATTTACATTATTAAAATAAATTTCATGTGGTTTGACAACAGTATGCGTACCCTTAAATAAGTAAACATTAGTTAAATAGTTAAGTTCAACTATTAAACCAGACTTTACTATTTATGTAAGTCGTGAGATGTACGTTGGATTCAAACCTCAGGAAAGCTAATGTCTAGTAGACCCATCATATGGTTTTTAACGGCGTCAATATTTGGATGTTAATTCGCTTCTTTAACCTTTATAGTATAGTATAAACAAAATCTAATTAAAACTTTATAGTGTTTCCTAACCTGTAACAGTTTGAGGAAATAAACACTTATACATAAAGATAATGTAAACTAAATTACAGAAATATACGCTTTTTCTATTTCAAAACAATTTTTCTAAATCCGTCATTCATTCGAAGTCATGCAATTTAGAAATGAAAAGGTTCTGATCATCACTATACTACAACAAATCATACATTTTATAGTTAAAAGTTTCAGCAACTTAATAAGCGTCATTTCTTAGACCGCCTAACAAATTAAAAAGAAGATTTTATGGTAACTTAGTATGCGTTAATATGCTATAGCAAACGATAGCAAGGTGATAGTTGGTAATTTTTGTGAAGAAACAGCAAGTTATGCCTTAAAAAATATCAACTATTCAAAAACGTATAAAATCGAAAAGTGATTGTTTAGTGAATCACAGTTTTCTCTCATTTTGATACAGATAGTTCATTCTAATCCACTTCCGTATGATCCGTATAGTCTACAAATTACATTTATAAATTATGTTATATAACATAATTCTTTTCGGTAAGAATTTTATGGTATAAGGATAAAAAGCATTCAATACTGTTTAGGCATTTCATTAATATTTATTTGTTGTGATTCTTCTGTTGTGTTGATATGCATTGAATTTCATTTAGCTACTCGTTAATTTCTTTATTATTGTAGATCTTCTATATTTATGTTTTTGTCTATCAATCAAAGTTTGAAAATTTATGATTTCATTTATAATTCATTGATTTGACATTTCAGTTGTGTAAAAACACTTTATAGGATAAAAAAAAGAAAGTTTTTTTTGTATTAAATTTTTATTCTAATTTATGAATTAGCAAATTTCCAATCAAATAATTTTCTTCCTGAAAAATAGATGGATAGACAGGCAGATATTGAATTATGGACATGTGGTGAAGTGGAGTATAATTTGTTTGAGCAATTTTAGTGATAGTATTTCTAAGAATAAGTAACTGCTACTACTACTACTACTAATAAAATCTTTTCAAGTGAGTTACATCACTGTAATGATTATTATTTGTATAGAAAATTGTATTTCTTATTAAAAAAATGTTATGTAGTTATATGTACAATAGTTTATTTGAGAAAGTAGAAATGCTCTTTTTAGTTGAGTGAATTTTATTCTCATCTCATCTATTTATTTCTGAAAAGTACAGTAGTTTCTCTATGCATAATCTTTAGGGATATACTGAAATTTGTATTTACTAATATGATTAATTTTTAGGCATTATTATTATTATTTATGATGTAATGTAAAAATAGAGAATTAATAAAATCTGGTTTATTTTCCTAACAATATCAGAGTGGAAACTAAATTATTACACCTTAAATAATGATAAATGGTATCACAAAGTTTTAATTCCATATCTGACTAACTATTATAGTTGATTTATTACGTTGGTTTTCATGTTCGGATTGTATTTTCTAAAACGAGATTGCAGATATTTAGTTATTTGTTTGTAATATTGTACAAACTGATTGAAAAGTTGCATGTATTATAATTTACTGAAGTGAGAAAGCTCAAGTTTGTCATTTTTATAATAATCATTTTATTTAAAAGCGTTATTTTGTCTCAGTTAATTACATTTTCAATGTTATAGGCTAAATGCAAAATCTGACAAATTGTATTTTAAAAGAGTACAAATCAGCAGATATTGACTTTCATGGTAATAAAGTTTGGTTAGATTTCAGACATTGAACATTTAAAATAGAATTTTCATTATTGACACTACTTTGTACTGAATGTTATGTTGTTAAGTAATAAAAAATTAGGGAGTACATTACATCTTCATCAAAACTTGATTGTTAAGTCGTTACTGTAGGACTAGTTAAATTTTTTAAATATGAAGATTGATAGATTGTTCTGTTGGCTATAAATAACATCCTATCAAGTAATATTTGTCATATACGTTTGAATGAAATGAATGTAAACTTTTTATTATGCAGTCATTCGAGTACAAGATTAAAATATATATATATTCTAAAAAATAATAAACATGTCTTATGCTGATTTGCGCTCTGTTTATGATCGATGTTAAACGATATTTTTAGATAACAGAAGTTTTGTAATCGAAGTTTAATTTAGAAAAGTCTACACAATTAAATTTTCTCCCTTAAATAACCAGAGTTAGGTGCTTTTTTAAGGATTATCGTATCATTTATAACATTTGGATCAGAGTTAGTGTCATTCAGAAGATACACACCATTTAGTGTAAGAATTCATACTGTGTATAATTTGAATCATGAAGGTAACCAAATGTATGTCTAACAGTGGCTTACTAACAGTATTATTGCTTAAATTGTTATTGACTAAGGGTGTTCATCCATATTTCATCTAATTAAAAGTACACACATGTAAGGTAGTGTCTATTTACGATTATACAACATTTCAATATCACATACTCGGGCAATTGACTACTAAATAGGAGGAATTTAGTTTCAAAACGAAAATCTAAATTCTATTGCTTTATAATCAACGCTAAGTTTATACATCTACATCAGTGATTATAATATATTCAAGATTTATTCAGAGACATTTTTTTTCAAAGAAAAATCTCCATTTAAAAAGTTGTTTGAATAAGCATTTCTAGATTTGATATAGACACCGACCTATTTGGAAGGGAAAAATTTGATGAATGGAAATGTTTCAGTGTTTTAAAAGTGTCTTAAACTTTAACTACAATCATCGATTTGACAGGTATGGTTTAACGAAACATTCATTTGGTAAATGCATCTAGTTATTTAACCTACTGTGCGTCTTTTTACAGAAAAATAAAACATATTCAACTTACTCATGACAAGACATCATGGTTTGTTGAATTCTGTATTGACTAGGGTCTTAAGAAAGTACACTTTCATTAAAAAAGCTTAAGCAAAAAATATCTACTCTTTCTAGGCACACTATGTTTCATTGAAAACAGTTTCAAATGTCTTTACAGAAATATTCTACCGTCTAAGATTTTGGAAGATTTACTTTAAACTTTTTGATGAATTATCTAAAGTCATTTTAGTTATAAAACAAGTATGACGGTCTATATAATAAATGGACTGTGTCTAGCGGTTGAATTCTTGAGGTATTTTTCTTCGTATTTGGGCCTCATCAGATGGATATTCCTACTTCCAAGATTTGATAATATAACTCTGGTACTTAAACCTATTATCCTTCGTCTTAAATACCGAACGCATCATCCACTTAGCTACTGAAATCAGATTGCCTTGAGCTTGTGAAGCGAGCATGAGCTTAGTTTAATTTTGAAAGTATCTCGTTGCTGATATTTTTGACTAAAGTTTGATCAGTCATAGTCAGCGTATCTGTATCTTGTGAAGATTTCCTTGATGCAACTGTTACGTCAAAGGTTTTACCGATTTATGAAATAATATATACTTCTACTACAGATCTTATTCAAAATACCAACCATCTTTCTTTCAATAATTTTATTGATTTAACTGAGATTTGATGCCTTACAATTTTTTATCAACTGCAGATCAAAATAATGTCATTGAATGATGTCATATTAGATCATGAATCAAATCAATGCCTTTTCGTATGCACTAAATGTGGAGCAGAATATGTAACACGAGATATGTTAGCTATGCATATGATGGATAGTGCACGTACTGGAATGTGTACAGAAACTGATGCAACCGGTAATGTGGTCAGTGTGAACAATAATACTAATCACAAAATAACTCGCTGTGAAGATCTAATTGATTCAGATAAGCTGATCGCACAGAAATCTGATGAAATATCAAACATTTTTGATCCTTCATTATATCGTTCATCATTATCAAGTTGGATAGGCGAAAGAACTGAACCAATATTTAATCTATTATTTAATCAACTCACGCTACCGAATTTATATTCTATGCAGAATTCTACAGTAAATAACATTAATAATAATAATAATAACGATCTGAACAGTCTTCAAATAAATTCAACAAATCGTAGTAAATTTTTATCAGCATACGAAGGTAATACTAATATTACTTCGCTTAAAGAATGTCGACTAAATCCAGGTGATACTTCATCAATCATAGACATGCAAAATCATGAAAGTTTACATAGTCTACTATTAAATTCTCAATATCCAACAAACAGTATTTCACCAAATATAAAAATGAATTTTATTCAATCTTTAAAAATTAATAAAAATGATATACTTTCAAAATCAGCAGTAAAAGACAATATTCGAATGATCAATGAAAAATCAATCCCAAATGATCATAAACTTAAGTCAAAAAGTGTTTCTAATGAAGTTGTAACTAGTCAAACATCAGCATCATCAATTTATTCTTTTATAAAAACTCTTACTGGTTATAATGCTATAACAACTTCAAATCGTGACACCAACGAATCATTGAATATTTCAACTGGAACACAATTAACTAATGAAAATAAAAAATTTATAGATAATGCTCAATGTAAATCTCAAAGAGAAAATCAACAAAGTTTGAAAATTGCTGTTCTAGATTCCAAAGTAAAATGTATAGAAAGTCATAAAGTTGCCAAGTGTAATGAATTAGTTGATAATATTAAAAGGTATAAGATTGATGATCATCATTTCAAAATTAAACGAAGTCGATCATTACCTTCACCACGAGAATTAAGAAATCAACAACATAATTTTGAATTGAATTATTCAATTTTAGAAGGAAACAATAAAATTTTGAAGACAAATCATATGAACAACAGTGATGGTGTTTTGCATAAGGTGAAGTGAACATTTTTGAAATGTTGTTGAAAATATTTTGGTTGGTAGTTTAGTAATATCTTTTTTTACCTTAAATACAATATGGAATATTTAAAGCATACTTACATTATTTTGTGATGGTGACCACATTGTATCGTCATTATTGTTGACTGAAATCTGTTTGAAAATGTGCAGTTTAACCATCCTTCTAGAATGATGCTGAATTGTAGTCTATTTCGTTTTAAAAATTTGCGTAATCAAAGCCAGGCAAATAGAAAGAATTAGATAGTTGGGTAACAATGGTCAACTAATACCTCATGTTATTTTTAATTTTTAGCATAAGGGTGTTTATGAGAGTTTGGTCAGTTGTAATTAAGTGATGCAAAAATTTATTAGTATTAACTCATTACACTTTATTTCTGTTGAACAAATCAAACCAATTCAGTATGTGAGAAATGGATAGTAGTATGTTTGGAAACTTAAACAGCCTTACATTAAGGACAGTCTGATCGAAGTGAAAGAATGTATATAAAAAGATCACATAAAATTTAGATGAATTTTGTTCGTTACAATAAACAAGGTGTCAATTTATTTTAGTTGTAAATTATCTATTCTATAACTAAACAGTAATCTCATTAAGTCTAATATAATGAAAATAGAATGAAATGGTTTATGAGTTAAATATACGTTCAAGAGATGAATGTTAACTTGCAGGCGACAATGGTGTACAACTTTCTGTTGACCGATTTCAAATATCTAACATCGCTTAGAAATGCACTCAAAGAATATATTAGAGTCATCTTTTCATTTGTGCATGTATATTCCCGTAATTGTAGGAAAAATTGCTTGAACAGATTTATGAAGTACTTGTTGTAGCGCATTCATAATGATCTGGTTCTATGAAATTAATTTCAGTAGTTCTCTCATTCTTCTGTCATTCATTCTTGGTCATTAATTTGCATCAGGTTTGAGGCAAAATTAATTGTACCCACTGGTTGATTATGAAGTTTTAAAGTCTATCTTCATGAACTTTTTTTAATGTTTACTAGTTATTTGTTCATTTACAGACCCATTCTAGTGATGCTAGTTGATCTTTAAGTTTTTCGCCTAAGTATGGTCTGCTTTATGTCAGAATCATGATAGAGCTAGTGATTAATGTTGTAGTTAACAGAACAAAGTAGTGACGTATTAACTATTGTACAACTCAGGAGCCTGTGGTACATGTTACCTTTACTGTTGGTAACATTTACGTACAGCTCTAAAGTGCAGTCGCTTATATCATCCATATTCTATTACAGAACCGATCATGCTTAACTGGATTTGCAGCAGATTGTTGAATTCTTACAATACAAATATTAAATGAGTGTATCCGTAGAATAATAAAAAATTTCTTCAAATGGATGAATGAACGTGAACAAAATTTAGTCAGTTTACATACAAATAAGTTCAGATCTGAGTATCGGCTAATATTTGGAACTGAAACTTTCAAACTAACATTATACTGCTACAGAATAGATTTTTTTGTGTTTTAAACTTCATGTTCTATTTGTTTTATTATTTATAAATAGACACGATGTGACCGCAGATGTTATAAAAAGTCGGGATTTAAAACAATACGCAAATTTGTGAATTACAATCGATCCAGGTTCAATAATCCGAAAAACCTACATTTTGTATCCCGAATACACCATGACAAAATAAGCATGAGCTCAAGTCGTTTCTATGACAGCGAAACTGATACAAATATTCAAGATAACACCTTAAGTAAAATGAATCATCAAAAAATCAGTAAAGTTGAACACGTACAGTCGATTTTCCCATACATTTGTGAATACTGTCAAATTGGATTTGTTCAACAAGCTTTATACTGTTTACACATGGGAATGCATTGTGTAAATAATCCACTGAAATGTAACATGTGTGCACAAACGTGTGTAGATGTTTATGATTTTATTGGACATACATTGCATTTTTGATTAACTGATATATTATTTATATCTAACATACCAATATTGAAAATTGTTGATCATTTAAATATTGGTCTGTAGTTTTTAAGATCATGAGTTATATAAGTCTTTTTCTTCTGTTATGCTTCATATATAAACTCACTTCAACTTTAGTTTGTTATTTATTGATTTTTGGATGTATAATAGTCAGTAATATGTGAAGGTTGTTTTGACAATATTTATTGTGGATTTCAATTATCGTAGAATTTCTGCTGTATTTTCCTACAATATGTAAATGAATACTAAAAGTTTGCCGATACTTAAGCTTACTTATAAGGGAATAATATTGAACGTAAAATTAATTTATATTAGATTTCTTCAACCGTACTATACAGAAATTTACTTCGAAGTACGTCCAAAAGGTTGTGGCGATACCTAGAAACACTGGTTTGAAGCACTTACTTTATAAATGGATAAAAAACTTCTAATATGAAAAAGGCTTAGATACCACTATTTGATTATAAACAAGAGACAAGGTAAGGAATGAATTAGTTGAAGAAATCAGAAGCAAATGGGAAGTCATCATTTTGAAAGTTATGCACTATGAGCAATAGATGTAACTTAACTTATCAGCGGAAAGACATGTCAAAAACATTCTTTCTGAACTTCGAATCATTTTAACAAGAGGAATAAGAGACTTTTTGCATCGCATATATAGATTGAAGACATATGAAAGTCTGGTTAATGATATGAATTTGGTTATTTCTGGCCTGCAAGAAACAGAATACTATATATAGACTAACATTACTGATTACTGAATACATGAAACAAAAAGATGATTCCTGTACTGTGTACTGTGTTCAAATATTTTAGGCAGTGTGATTGGCTGATTGGTTTATTTTAGTTATTTTATAATGCCAGAAAGCATGCAACTCAAATGAGTTGTATCAAGATGATTACCTACAACTACCTAAGGACTGAATGTTTTTCCTTGGACAGCAAGTCACATAGTTCAGTGCTTACCATGTAACTGATGTGTCTGTATGATTATTTAAATATGTGAATCATATTTTGAACAAATTTAAGTTAAACAGTTTGCCTACTGAATATTTATATCAGTAGCAATGCATATCTGAACGAATTAGTTTGTCAGTTGAGTTGACAATTTACAATTATTAAGGAAGAAATGTTAATTGTTTGTTTTGGGCTCTGTAAAATATAGTATAGCAAAGTAAAAAACTGGTATCAAACGACTTCTGACACTTGATAATCAGTAAAAAATACAGCTATATTCATGAAATATTAACTTTTGTTATCTTTTACAAAACTGCCATTTTACATTCATTAATCAGAAAACTGGCATTACAGTTAAGTGGTATAGTCAGTGCACCACTTTTGAATAATCTCATGGTTATTCTAAGCCACAATTGACTGAAATTCTCCAACGATTATTGACCACTTGTCCGACTTAATAACGATTTTGAAATATATAAAAGCCGTCTTTTTGTATGAACATTTGTATATTTATTGATATAGCATAACTTGATCCAGCATTATGTGGTATAGGAGAACTGTTTCATTTTAGGACTTTACTGGTTAATTAACTTATCAACTTTGTTTTGCTTTGTATTGTAGTTCAGAATTGTCTAGTTTTTGTCATTAAAGTTATGTACAGTTCTTGACTGATGGATATAGAAACGACATCTCCACGTTTATACTATGTTAATTGATACAAATACATTAAACTCGAAGGCCTAGTTGATTGCTCAGAACAACTCCTGAGCCTTTGCCTAGATTTGTACAAGGTCTACAAGGTAGTAAATTGGCGTTAGGAGATTCCGTTCCACAGTAGCTGGTGGCGGAAATATAGATTTTTAAGCTATTAAAACCATCAGGATCCTTGTGCTAATGCACACCATTAGTCTAGAATCAGGGTTTTCCAAACCTTATAGTTGAACCGGCTGTGAACCACCAACCGCGCTTGAGCACTTGAAATTCGCTTTTCACCTTTTCAGTTACATACACGATTATTTCTCAACAAGAAAGCTGTAGGGAGGAATCACCTGGTGGCAATTATGAGTGTGTGGTCATTTGAGAGGATCTTGAGCGAAGAAGTAGACATTTTGGACGTTGAAATACAGATGGGGAAAGTAATCAAAAGTAAATGCTGATAAAATTTCTAATCATGTAAAGAAAGTAAAGTGTTCTATGACTATTATAGAATTGAAGATACAGGGAAGCTGAGGTTTCTACTGTCGCATAAGAATGTACTAAATATAATACTCTTAAACACGCCTATTTTACTGGAATAAAAATACTAGTGAAAAATCGAATTACTTCCTTTTTTGTAAATTCAGGAACTTGGAGTCACTTTATATATCTCAGAAAAAAAGTGAGGAAATGTACCGGCAAAGTTGGTGTGACACTAGCAACATTAGAAATGAAAAGCAACTTTTATAAAAAAACTTTAAACATATCTATTCATTCCGATTAGATTTCCTGTTTGTTGAATGCTGAAAGACATATTGATCAAGTTAAAACATGGTTGACAGTAAATTTAACACGCACACGATAAATGGAAATCATTTCATCGGTTATAAAAAACATATTTTCCATAAGGAAAGTATTTTGATGCATATTGTCACCTGAAAGCAGGCATAAAGGAAACGAGATTAGAAAATGTTATGACAGTATTCTGGTTAAAAATCCTTACTTTTATGTAGGATACTATTTAGATGACAGAGATCAACTGTAGAAAAATGATATATTTATATGATATCACTGAATGGTGTAATGTTTGTCTCTTACAAAGTTCAATACTCTAAGTTAATTTGGTAGCTTTAGGTAGGTATTTAACTTATCTTTGCAAAAAGATCTGACTATTGCCTGTGCTTTCATGCTTTTGTATAATTAGTTGTGATCATTAGTTGCCTTGAGCAACTGATCTGATGTCACGAATCTCTAAAAATGTTATGCATGTTCAGTGGCACTCACACCAAATAAATACACTGATAGCAAATTATTTTAGTAGATGATGAAATAATTAAATTATCTTATCAAAATAATTTTTCAAATAACAAAGGT